ACTGAGCCATCTCTCCAGCCCTGCCACATTCTTTAAAGACCACTGAGAGGCATTGTACATAAACTGGACAGTAGGCCACCACTCATTTTAGTTGAAGGAGGTGCCACTCTGTGAGAAGTTATTCCAGTGTGACTGAAATAGCTGGCATTCAGTGGCAGAGGTTTCCAAAAGAGTCTTCAGGTTCCTAGGCAGAGACCAAAGGGTCAGTTCTGACAAATGATGCTGGAGAACATATGTGGTGGGTTTACACAACAGCAGAAGGGACGTGTGTCCCAATGAGACTTGGACCACATGATGGAAGTCAATGTCTACGGTGTTGCCTATTGGGTTCTGCTCACTCAAGTCACACCACAGCTGCCACTATGACTGTGGTGGCCCCATGCACAGCTCTGCAGTTCCTTTCTTCGCTAACACACAGAATCCCTATTATAGCCTAGGGCACATAAGGTAAGGTCCACCCTTGAAAGACGTGACAGCATTTCAGGTGTTTCTCACTGCCCTCTGCCTCCTGTCACCACCTCTGTGGCAATTCACAGACCCATGACAAGTAAACATAACTGCTGATGTTCAGAGAAGAGGAAGCAGGCAGGAAGCTCCACTCTGAATGTGGAGGTCCTGTGTCACAGGCTGACGCCATCACCCTGTATGCTGGGGTCATGACCTGAACATGAAAGGGAAAGCCAACTGAGCAGCACCCTTGCTTTCTCTCTGCTCCCTGTTTGTGCGCACAGCCTGACCAGTGCCATCATACCATGATGGACTGTGTTCCCTTGAGTTGTGAGACAAATAAGACTTCCTCCAGGTCAGTGGCTTCTCTTGGGGTATTTCATCACAGCAACTGTGACTGATATCACAGGGAGGAGGCAGAGGAAAGGCGGTGTGCTCAGGTCAGTAAAGGAAACCTACTTTCTCCTGGTCTTATAGTAGAATCTGAGTTTGACATCTGAACCTGGGAGAACCCTGCCATTGTAATCTGTACTAACAATTAGAACAACACATTACCTTATGAGTTAATTTAACTGACCCTGTCAGTCACCTGGCCAAGAAGACCACCCGTCAGGAAAGCCGGTTCACCTGAGGATTCTCTAATCCGGACGGGAAGCCTGATTAACCCCTGAATGAGAAAATGTTCTTACAGTTCCCTATACCTGTTGCTGTAGGGCCCTAGAAAATGTGAATCGGTTCCACCTTAACTGAAGGTCAGAGATTTGTCCACCACAGCCTTGCTACCAGGTGTTTTCAACTAAGATGCCCGCAGAGGTGGATCCGCTCCACCCTGACCAAGGGGCTGAGAATTCAAGCCACACCTGCTCTATCATCATTCAGGAAGTTTGACCTAGGAGTGGCTGTGTGCAGGACTCTTGGTCTAGGGTGTTTTCGCTGCACATTCCACCCAAAGCATCAGAATACTTACCTTAGAAAATAGTGGGTTAATGTTTCAGTTATTAAAACAAGTAACTGCTCTGGGTGTCCTTTGTGTCATGGTAAGGCAGTCTTCTGCCTCCTTCCCCCTTTTGTATTGGGGTATAAAAACATATGGAAAATAAACAAGGCGGATTCAGGATTCAATAATTCAGTGTTCACCGACTCTTCCCTCCCTCCCCGTGTTTCTTCCACATCTCTGTTTCCTTTTTTTAAAAGATTTGTTTATTTGTTTATACAGTATCCTGCCTGTAGGCCAGAAGAAGGCACCAGATCTCATTACAGATGGTTGTCAGCCACCATATGGTTGCTGGGAATTGAACTCAGGACCTCTGGAAGAGCAGTCAGTGTTCTTAATTTCTGAGCCAACTCTCCAGCCCACTGGATTCTAAATATCTTATAATGTATTAAATGTAAAAGCCCCAGTTGCACAAAGCAAAGGCTTTAGAAAGTTCAGGTGACATCTAAGACAAATGGGAGAAATTTCTCAGCTTTGGTGAATTCATTCTCTGTTGTTTCCAACAATCCATATATTTTTCCTTCCTTCCTTCCTTCCTTCCTTCCTTCCTTCCTTCCTTCCTTCCTTCCTTTCTTTTTGGTTAACTAGTTTATCTAATAATTGCCTTTATTTAAGATTTACTTTGTTCTGGTACCATACGAATTTTAAAAAAATATTTCCCTGTTGAAATGTGGAATTAGGAGTAAACTGAATTAGTTTTCACACCATGGCACTCATATACGACTCCAGGATAAACTCTCTTTTATTCCTTTTGAGGTCAGAGCTGCGTATTTCTGTATCAACAAAAGGAACTCCACTTCCTCACTAGTATGTGTCTTTCTTAACTCTTTGTTCATGACACAAACACCTGAAAATTACATCGTGAGACAACATGAGACCACCTCCACTATTAATCTTGTGGCCCACAAGGAAACTCCATCTTGCTCACAAACAACCTTTCTCTGGGATTTAACTCAAAACACTGCAAACTCAGGAAACTGAAGAAGAAAAAAAAAGAACTATGTTAGGTAGAAGGCAAATGTTCTACTGTTGAGTTGAGTCAGATTATGATTAGGTTTGCTTTTTAATCTTTGTTAATATTTTATGTCTAAAATGTTTAATTATAGTCGGGCGGTGGTGGTGCACGCCTTTAATCCCAGCACTCGGGAGGCAGAGGCAGGTGGATCTCTGTGAGTTCAAGACCAGCCTGGTCTACAAGAGCTAGTTCCAGGACAGGCTCCAAAACCACAGAGAAACACTGTCTCAAAAAAAAATGTTTAATTATGTATTTGCGTCTGTGGGTAAATGAGATGGAAGAGGGTGATGGATTCCCCTACAGCTGGAGCTACAGGGATTTGTGAGTTGTGAAATGGGCCCTGGGCACTCAGTATGGTACTCTTAAATAGCAGCAGGTGTCTTAATTGCTGGGACAAGTCTTTAACACACCCCATATTTTGGTATGTTATAATATTTTAAAATTATAATAGTATTATTCAATTGTGCTTTCCTCACTCCAGCTTTTCCATGTATGCTCCCAGCCCAATCTCAAATTCATTGCTTCTTTCTTCTTAAATGTTTCACATATATATACGTATAGGCATAAACACACACACGTGAGTGAGTGTGTGTGTGTGTGTAGATGCCTAATATATAAATACAATCTGCAGAGTCAATCAAGTATTACTTGCCTGTATATGATTTCAAGTCTGGCCACCTGGAATTCTTTAACCAACTAGGAGGCTCTGGCTATTGTATGACTAATTACGCCCCCACCCAGCTGTCCTTACTGAACTGCAGGTTTTAGCTGGGGGAGGGGTCTTACGAGATTTGTCCCTTCCAGGATTGCCCCTGTTCAGAATGTATTCAGACATCCATATTGTTGAGGTGTCCTGGCTGTAGATTCCTGATCTGTTACAGGAGACACAGTCTGACCTCACAGTCCACTTGCTGGTCTTCTGGCTTTTGAAATATTCCCAACCCCCTCTCTGCTGTGTTCGCTGAATGTGGGGTACATGAAATATATTATAGATTTACCCACTGAGTCTGGACAACCCAAAATCAGTGGTTCTCTTCATTTTGTCCAATTGCCTAAGACTCTATCTGGTGCAAAAAGGAATTCTTGACCTGGGTGCCAGCTGTTCTGATCATCTGCTTCTAGGTGATCCTTTCTGTTTAAACTTTTGTGTTTCCATTCGACTTATTTAGTGTGGGGGAGAGGGAAATGCTGTGGTATAGGAGCAGAGGTCAGAAAGATTCTGATCTCTCTGTCCACAACAAGGCTCTCAGGGATGGAGTGCAACTCATCAGGCTTGGGCAAATGCTAAAGGATCCACCTGCGTTTTCAACTTATTGAGAGGGTGGAATAGTGGATTGAAACTCTGCCTAGATACCTTAATAAATTACCTATCTATCTAAAATATATCTCTGTATGACCTTGAAAACATATCTAGCATGAATATTGTGTTTGATGATTATAGATCACTATTACTCTCCATTTCTTAATTATACATTACATTTTTTTAAATAATTATTTATTATGTATACAATAGTCTATCTGTGTGTATGCCGAAGGCCAGAAGAGGGCACCAGACCTTATTGCAGATGGTTGTGAGCCACCATGTGGTTGCTGGGAATTGAACTCAGGTCCTTTGGAAGAGAAGGCAATGCTCTTAACCACTGAGCCATCTCTCCAGCCCCAACATTTTTTAAGTGAACTTCAAATACATAATATCTGAAACTAGAGTAGAAACATACAGTATAAAAAATTACGTTAAATTTGTATCAGTAAGGCAAAATCAGTGCCAATGTCAAATAGTTAGGGTGCTGGTAATCTTTGGGGGATCATGAGAAAATTGGTATAATTAAGTCCTTTTTATTTTTTGATGTAGCTTGAGCCAATCTTGGAACTAACTCTTGTAGACCAGGCTGGCCTTGAATTTACAGAGATCTGACTAATTCTGCCTGGAGTGCACCGCCCGGATAAAGATCTTTTTTTTTTTTATGTCAATATTTCATTGTCACTGTTGATGCCACTGTTCTCCCTTAGCGGCTTCCAGTCTTGGATTCCTAATCTCCTGGTCTGGATGCCAAAGTACACTTTCCCTTTGTCCGACTCTGCCTCGAAAATGTTTATCAATAAACTGGGTTTTGAGGCTCACTCGTGTATTCCAGCACTCAGGAGAAAAGGGCACAAGGGAAATGCATTACTCGAGGCCCAGCTTCCGCTACACTGTGAGCTCTAGGACCACCTGGGCTACATGAAGGACCGATCGAAAATCGAATTCTACCAAGAGGGAAAAAAAAGAGAAATATGGAGACGACAGAAGAAGGGCGGATCTCAGTGTTTGCCAATCCACGAGAGGGGTCCTCACCTTTCACCGTCCCCACAGTTCCCTTTCCTGTGTGAACATCTCACCCACACACACCCAAAATCCCAAATCTGGTTCAGAGGGTGAAGCCTCAAACACCCAATCAAATTAGAGCTTCAGGGTGGGGCCGACTGCCAAGGGGAGGAGCTAGAGGGAAGGCGCTATAAAGCTTCAGAGGAGCCAGAGAAAACACCAAGGATTGAGATCCCGGAGCTACTGCCTGCCCTCTGGAAGAAGGAACGTGTTCTCCAGTTTCCACCTCTGGTAAGTCAGCCCCTTCCATCTGGACACCGCATCTATGCAGCCCAGCCACTCTCAACGTGAGACACGGGTGGCACAGGGACTTTGAATTTCTGTCTAGATGAGGAGACTGGAGACTGGTTTTGACTCCAAACACAGCTTTGCCTGGGTCTGAAATACAATATTTATCCTTTTTAAATCTGTATTATTTTTAATTTTTGAGACAAGGTTTTGCCATGCTGCCTAAATTGACCCAGAAGTGGCTGAGTAGCTCAGGGTAGGTAGGAACCCAGCCTCAGCTCCTGGTTGCTGACATTGCGGGCTGTTAATTAAACATCTGGTGATATTTCTATTGCTGTTGTTAATTTCATTTAGTTTCTGGCTAGTTTGTCTCTTTGGTTAGTTTTACGTTTTGTTTCTTTTTGATTTTTCAAGACAGGGCTTCTCTAGGTAACAGCTCTAGATATCCTGGAACTCACTAAGTAGACCAGGCAGCCCTTGAACTCAGAGAAATCTGCCTGTCTCTGTCTCCCAAGAACTGGGATTAAAGATGTGAACCACCCTGCCTGGGCAGTATCTGGTTTAAAAAAGTGAAACTAGCTGTAGGGTGTGGAGGCATACCTTCATTCCCAGTACTAGGGAGGCGGAGGCGGGCAGGGAGTTCCAGCTAAGCCAGGAATAGACAAAAAAGTCCTTGTGGCAAATAACAATAATAAAAAGGATGGACTTTTGTAACCAAGGCTGCTGCAAAGTCCATACATATCTCAGATAACCTTGAACAGTGACCTCCTCTTCTAGAACTCACAGAAAACTGCATGACTGTTTCCTCAGTACCTGCCTTTCTCTGCTGTGTTGGTATGCACACGTGTGTGTGTGTGTGTGTGTGTGTGTGTGTGTGTGTGTGTGTGTGTTTGTGTGTGTGTTAGGTGTTCTACAGTATCACTTCCTGGATATTGATCGTGTTTGAATGAGTTAACATTTCCTGTCTTTCTTGGTATTTTTTCCCAGCTTCTAACAGGATGGGCATCTGGGCCATACCCACACTGGAGAAGCTGTCAAGGCAAGCTCTGCTGAGAAATGAGGCCTTGGCCATCTCTGCTCTGGGGAAGCTGCCCATCAACCTCCTCCCAGCACTGTTTGAGGAGGCTTTCAGTAACCAATGCAATGGGATCGTGAAGGCGATGGTGGTAGCCTGGCCTTTCCCCTACCTCCGTGTGAAGGGCATGATGAACACCTTCGACACAGAGATTTTTCATGCTGTGCTGGATGGACTGGATGTCCTGCTGGCTCAGCAGGTTTGCCCCATGTAAGTAAGACCCATGTAGGGTCGAGTGATTCTGGGGTACATGGGAAGATGTCAGGGGTTGAGAGAATGGGTTCAGAGGTAGATAAGGTCTTTGTTAGCATCAGCTTGGAAGACCATAGAAGCCTTGACTGCTGTTGAGTTCTGATGGAGGACAGATGGGTGTGGAGTGGAATAGAGAAGTAGGTGCAGTGGAAGGGGCTGTCCCTGTCTCTCCACAGGCTCTAGTAGTACCAGGTCTAGAGAAACTGAATGGAGGGAAGTGAGACAGAGTTGTGGATGCAGCTCAGAAAGAGCCATTGCCTGGGACCATGAGGACTTTGTTGGACACTGAGTAGTGAAGAAAAAAAGCAAACAATTCAAAGTCCAGACGGGAGCTGAATATCTGTCTGGTCTTCTCTTGTCATAACACTTGACATATTCTACTCACAGGAGAGGAAAACTTCGAGTACTCGATTTTCAGAGGTTGCCCTGTGAGTTCAGGACCATCCAGACTGGAACAGAGGATGGGGTTTGCTCAGCAGAGACTGTGAGTGTGAAGCAAGCAGGGAAGCCCTCTCCTACACATGAGCTGAGGCCGCTAATCAAGGTGAGAATTGACCTCTACTTCGGGTCCCGAATGGAGAAAGCAGAAGTGTACTTCTTACAGTGGGCCCAGCAGAGAAAAGACTCCCTCCAGCTCTGCTGTGAGGACGTGAAGATTGTGTTGCAGTCCCTAGATAATACTAGGACATTTCTGAGTGTTTTCGAGCTAGAATACATCAAGGTGTTGGAACTCACTGTAGATTGGAGCTGGCGCACTCTGGCACAATTTTCTACCTACCTCCCGGAGATGAGAAACCTTCACACAGTTTCCCTAGTGCATATCCATTCGAACATGTGTGAAGTTTGCTGTCAACCACGCTTAGATGAGATGAACTTTTTTCAAAAGTTCTTTTCTCAGTGTTCCGGACTCAGCGGTCTCCAGCATCTTTATCTGCGTGGCATCTCTTTCTTCAGTGAGCACATGAAACTCTTGCTCAGGTAAGGATGGATAAAGAGCTGTTCCTGATACCAGACCAACTTTACCTTTTTTGTCAAAGAGTAGTGGGCCTGGTATCTGCCAGGCCTTGCAGAATAGTGAAGGAGACCTTGGAACATCTAAGCATGGTCATGTTCCTGTGTCATTGAATCAAAGACCACCCCTGAAGCAGAGGCCTGATTTGGGGTAGGAAATGTGCACATAGTATCTCACAAAAGCAGTTGTGAGGGTCAGGTTCAGTGAGAATGTTGTACTTTCTTCCTTAGAATCCTGGGTTAGCTAATGGGAAGTGCACAGAGAAAGAAGCGAACCGAAAGAGTGGAGGTGCAGAATCCCTGCATCTTTCCCCAGGTGGTCTGTGCTCAGACTGTAGACAGCCACCACCGTGCCTCTAATATCCCATGCAGGAAATGCTTTGGACAAGTAGGGACTGCACTGATGGGGAATGGCTGACAGTGGGATTTGGGGTCAGTGTCAGGGGTGGAGACTGTATTCCCCAGGGGTGGGGGAAAAAGTTAGAGGGCAGTGAAACTACCTGAAATGCTCAGGTCTTTCATGGGTTGGTCCTTACCTTATTGCCCTAGGGTGTGTTAGCCTGCAGGGGATTCTGAGGGTCAGTGAGGAAAGGAGCTGCATAGCTGTGCCCCGTCCCATCCCACAGTGCTGGTGACAGCTGTGGGTGTGACTTGAGTGAGCAGGACCCAACAGGCAGCACCTTAGAGGTTTCCTTGCATCAGTGTGACTTTGGGATACATGCCCCTTCTGCTGCTGTGTAAAATCACTACACATGCTCTCGAGTATCATTTATCAGAACTAACCCCATGTTTTCTGCCTAGGAACCTGAAGACTCCCTTGGAAACCTTCTCTGTCACTCACTGTCAACTGTTCCAGTCACACTTGAAAGACTTTGAGCTGTGTCCATCCCTTCATCGACTAAAACATCTGGACATGAGTGGAGTCCTACTGTGCAATGTCTCGATTGTGCCTCTCAGTGTTCTCCTAGAGATGGGAGCAGACAGTCTTGAGACTCTGGAATTGCAGGGGTGTTGGATAAAAGACTCTCAGTTCCGTGATCTCCTTCCTGCCCTCAGCCAATGCTCCCAGCTCACCAAGGTCAATTTTTATAGCAATGACTTCTCCATGAATCTCTTGTGTGACCTTTTTCTCCACACAGCCAACATGAGCAAGATGACCATGGAGCAGTACCCTGCCCCTCGGGAGTGCTATGACCAGAATTCCATCCTGGTCATACACACATTTTCTCAACTTTGTTCTCAGCTCGTGGATACGCTCAGGGCCATAAGGCAGCCCAAGAGGATATGCTTTGCTACACATGGCTGCGGGAGATGTTTTCAACCCTTTGTGTATGACCAGGTGACCAGACTTTGTCCCTGCTTGCGGTAAAGAGGGGGAAAGTTGCTTTTGGTCCTTGAATTCTCAGGGTGGCTACATAAAGGCCTTTGTGCAGAGCAATGCAGACACCCACACCTTCTACAGCAGAGGTTTGGGGATTTCTAGAGGTTTTTAATCCTGGATAGCAGTGCAGGAGGCACTGTGTGCATGTCCAGTGGCAGGTGGGAGAGCAATGCAGACCAAATGGGAGGAGTTTAACCCATTTGAAGAAAATTTATTTTTTTCTGTCACTTAAAAAATATTTGTATTTAACTTGCTGCTTTTAAACTCTTATGGGCTTACTTTACATTGTTTCAGTTATGCTTATGTGGTGAGGAGGTACATGCAAGTGCCAGAGGCAGAGGAACCCTAAACCAGTTACCTGGCATGATTGCTAGGAGCCAGATTTGGTCTCTTGGAAGAGAAGCCAGGGCTCTACAGTGCTGACCCACCTCTCCAGCTCCTGGCCTTGACCTCTTAGTCCTCTCCTTCCCCCCCCCCCACCTCCTAATTGCTGAGATTGCGGATCTGGACCACCTTGTCTAGGCTGAATGCTTTAGGGCACCTAAAAGCTAGGTGGCCAGTGGTTTGTAAGTGTGCAGGATGTGTTCCAAAGTTCTTCTACTGTCCTGAAGCCCTTACTGCATCAGACAACTGTATTTGCACTATTCAGTTGTGATGTACATTTTTTTTTATAATTTACTGAGTTCCTAATTATCGATCTATTTGTGGTGCTAATCAGATATACAAAATAATTTTGTATTACACTTTCATTTCATTTGTGTGTTTATTAAAATATTTATGCATGCTTAATATTCATCAGTGTAGTTGTGTGACTTCCATAAAGCAATTAATTGTAAAGGCTTGTATAAAGTACACTCTAGGTAAAGAAAAACATGAAAAAAAGTGTTGCCATGACAGTTCAATTTAAGACATAATCTTAAAATCATGTTGGTGGAAAACATTTTTTTTTTCTTTTTGGTTTTTCGAGACAGGGTTTCTCTCTGGTTTTGGAGCCTGTCCTGGAACTAGCTCACAGAGAACCACCTGCCTCTGCCTCCCAAGTGCTGGGATTACAGCCCTGAGCCACCACCACCCGGCCAGGCCTTTTGCTTTTAGACAAGGGACTCAGCCTCCTTGTTGGTTCTTGGAAGTTCCATGATCTGGGTATAACAGGATCAGTACCCGGAAATGGTGGCACATTTCACTCCTTTAATGTTTGGGAGGCAGAGGTTAAGTCTCAGTGACTTCAGTACTAGCCAGGCATACAGCTACCTGAGAAAACAAGGTTTTTAAATAGTTGACAATTTCTCATGCTTCCTCTACCCACTGACCCTTCTTCAGTTCCCATTCCCGCTTTGAGCTCCTCATCCATTTCTTGATGTAATTTACATAAAATGTAAAGTGAGTTAGACACCTCCCTCCCCCATTCGGGTTTGGTCCATTTTCAGCACAGTAACAGAGCATCCCACTCCAACAGCACCTAACATTCCCCAAGTTCGGTTTTTTGTGGGTTTTTTTTGTTTGTTTTTTTTCTCTGTAGCTTTGCCTGTCCTGGAACTAGCTATTGTAGACCAGGCTGGCCTCGAACTCCCAGAGATCCATCTGCCTCCCCAGTGCTGGGATTAAAGGCGTGCTCCACCACTGCCAGGCCCCAAGTTCGATTTTTAAGACCACCTTAAAAACAGGCATGCTAGGAAGAATGGTTGGGGCTCTATATATGGGTGTGTACTTGTGCACTGGTTTTTAAGCTGCCTGGGATCAAACTCAGTCTTGTAGGCAAATGTTCTCACCTGAGCCTAGACTGTCCTTAGGGGTAGTAAGGAAACCAGGACAACATTTGAGGTTTGGTAGGAAAAATTAAAAGTATTTGTGTTTGAGTACGTGTCACCACACGTACAGAGGTTAAGTGTCAAGCAGGAGGAGCTCAAGGACATCCAAGCCTGCAAGGTCACACACCCAGACTCAGAAGCTTAAGAAGGAGAAGTGGGAGTTTGAAGTCAGCCTGAACTACGTCAGGAGACTGTATTGGGAATATGATGATTCTTTTCATTTATTTTGAGACAGGGTTTCTCTGTGCAGCCCTGGAACTCCCTCTCTCTGTAGGGCAGGTTGGCCTCTACCTCAGAGATCCTCTTGCCTCTGCCTCCCGAGGATTAAAGGTGTCTGCCAACACAGCTGTCCTAGAATGGCTATTTTTGGTTGTCAACACCTGACTGCATCTGGAATTAAGTAAAACCCAAGTAGCTGGGTATACCTGTGAGGGATTGGTATTCATGAACTCATCTGAACTGGGAAGAAGTGAAAAGACAAACGATCATATCTCTTTGCTCTGCATAATTTCCAAGTGAAAGCAATACCAGGTCATAATTATGCCTAACATGGTATAACGACTCATGTGCAAACACATTACATATTTAACCAGGTTATACTTACAGCTAACATGATATAACTACCCCTCCTACAGCCACAAATGCATTTTAAATAAAACAAAACCAAAAACAAAATATAAATGAGTAATATGTCCAACCCAGCACCTGTTGTGTTGGACTCTAGCATCCAAACACCGAAAAGGAGTCGCCCCCAGAGACCATCTCACACACTACAGCCGATGCAAAAGCATGAGGATTTTATTAATTCTGTCATGACAGGGTCCCCCAGCATTCGGGAAGCCGAGGTACCTCGAATAGCAGGTACAGTCTACTTTTAAAGGGGCCACAGAAGCAAAGGGGGTTGTTCTTTGACTATTCTGATTGGCTTATTTGAAAGGGCTATTACCAATAATTGACTGGAGAGCTGTTGCCAGATCAGATGAGGTAAGAGATCATTTTGACCCCGTTTCCCAGGGGACCAAACCAAAACATACATATATGGGTAATTGTTCGGAAACTGAGTACGTGCATGTGTAGCTGTTAGGTCCTTGGTTCCCAGGGGAGGAGGGGAAGCACTATGGCACAGAGGCTGAGAGGATTCAGAATTGTCAAAAATGGCTTCAGGATTGTCTTAAAGTCTTACAGTTGCAATGAAGAGAAGCTGGTGGGCCACCCAGTGTTAGAACCCAGAAAGAAAATAAAACAGAATCACCAAAGGAGCAAACAGTAGCATGCAGGGGTTTCCACCTCATGGCAGAATTGAACCCAGAGGCAACTAACCTTCTGTGGGTCAGGACAAAACAAAACACCAGCCACAAAATCAGGAATCAAACAACTACAACTCCCTGGGCCAAACTTGCCTGCCATGCATTTAATCACTCATACAGTCAGGCAGCCATTCATTCAAGCAAAATCCAAACAGATCCCCATGAGAGGCATGACCAGAGTGCAGGGGTCCCTACTACTGGTGTCCTAATGTACCGCAGGAGGACAGGAAGGCATCTCGGACCAAGAAGAGGGCTCCCAAAAGGACCAGGAAGAAGGCAGAAACGAGTTGCTGTCCAGCCTGGACTACACAGTGAGTTCCAGGTTGTGCTAGTTTGAATGGAATTGACCCCCATAACCTCATGAAGAGTGGCACTGTTATCCAGCATGGCTTTTTTTGGGTAAGAAGGGCCTCATGGGAGGAAGTATGTCACAGTGGGGAAAGCTTTGAGGTCCAAAGCCTCAGACTCTTTCCTGCTGCTTGCAAGATAGGGGACTCTCAGCTACTTCTCCAGCACCACGTCTGCCTGAACGCCACCATGTTCCCTGCCATGATGATACTGGACTGAACCTCTGCAGCTATAAGCAAGCCACCTTAAATAAATGTTTTTATTTATAAGAGGTTCTCCTGTCACAGTGCCTCTTAAGAGCAACAGAAACCTTAAGACTCCCAGAGCGGCCAAACCTGCAGGCATTGAAAGTTCAAGGTCATTGTGTGGTGGTGGCTCACACCTGTAATTCCAGAGCTTGGGGGAGCAGAAGCAGAGGTCTCTCTGGGAATTCAAGTCCAGCCTGTCAACAGATAAATTTCCAGGAAAAGCTCCAAAGCGTCACAGAGAAATCCTGTCTGGAAAAAAGTTCAAGGTTATCCACAGCTACTGATATTCTACAAAGCAACCAAAAGATTTTATGACCTGATTTATAGAAATAATAAAAAGGGTACAAATATATTGGAAATGATAGCATCAAACTGTCCTTGGGTGTTCATATATGTAATTCAGGGCTTAAGAGACAAAAGCATGATGCGATCAGCCTGGTCTGCAAACTGGAACTGGATAGATTAGATAGATAGATAGATAGATAGATAGATAGATAGATAGATAGATAGATAGATAGATAGATACTTAGACAGGTAGATTTTACTTACCCAGCAAGTAAAAGATATTGCATTCAATCTTACTGAGTGAACTTTTCTTGAGGGATAGGAGTAGAATTCCTCCCAGCCCAGATAGAAAAACAATAAAACATCAAAGCAATGAATCCAACCCAGTGTGGTTGCTGAATCCCTGAGTAAATCAGGCTTGGGCTTGTACATAGTCAAGTTACAGAAAGTCTCAACTCAACAGAATAACTTTGTGTCTTACTTAAATTTCTTCTGATGTGACTATGGCCATGACTATGCAGGCCCAAAAATATGAGCCTATTTTCAGATTGACCAGAGGTCAAAAAGACCTCTATTCCTTCAATGTTATCCTGTTCCTATCTTGAACAAAGGTCCCACCTAGATTTAGACCAGAGAGCTCTGCTCACTCAGGGCTATTGGCAACAGGTGTGACTAATACCCAGACCTTGTATTCAGGAATAGAGAAGTAGATATGTTTCTATTCCAAACAAAAGTCTAAGGATCCAACTAAGTTCCAGTTCCCTTAAGGAGATAACATTGGATTCCACCCTGGGAGTGGTTTGCCTACAGAATGTTTTGGTCTAGGGTGTGACCATGACTTGTTTTGTTTCTAGCAACAGAATGTTTAACTTATGGCGGTTGGCTGCAACCTTCAACTGGTCTGTTCATTTCTTGGTATCATGTTAATGCAATTTTTTTTCTCTTACTCCTACCTTTTGGGGTAAAGTGTTTTTAAACAACTGGAAATTAAACGTGGGCAATTTCAGTAGTCACAGGAACTCCCTCCCGATACTACTCTATATGTCTTGATTTTATTCTTTTTACATCTTCATACTCTTTACTAAATTTCTAAATCTCAATATCCCTACCCTTTGTGTCGAGGCTGGTCCACAACACATGACTGTTAAGTTGGGAGCGTAGCACCCAGGCCTGAGAGTTGTATTGGTCTGGACTCCAAATCCCAGAATGCCAGGTTCTGACGCCTCCCTGGGGGGGGGGTCAGGACAACTCCCACAAAATATTTAAGAGAGCTCCCAGAAGCACAGGTGGTCTCTTCCTCTCTCCCCCGCTACCACCCTGTGGTAGCATTCGTGGTCTCCCCGTTCCCCCTCAGGGCCACCCATGAGCTCAGGGATCCTATTAAAACAGCATATTTAATTTGGCTTGTGATTTAGCTTGATTGGGATTTTTGCATCGGCAGAGAGCTCGCATTAGGAAAAATTCCTAACATGACCAAGAGCAACTTGAAGAGGAAAGGGTGAATTTCCCCTCACAGCTTTTAAGTCCATCACTGATGGAAGTTGAGGTTGGAACTAGAGATAGGGACCTGCAGGCAGATAGTGATATAAAAATCTGTCAGGATTGTTGATTACTGATCGCTGGCTGTCCTAGGTGCTTACTCTGCCTAC